TGGTACTAATTTTAATTGTGAAATAGCTTACAGAAATCTAGCTATTTGAACCTGAACATGTTCATGAATGTTCGGGCCAAACCGAACCTGAACCTGAACTAATAATATAAGTTCAAATTCGAACCAAACCTGAACACTAATTTTAAAATAGTTCGGGTTCGAGTTTGATTCAAATTTCAGACTGAACCCAAACCTATAGTAGGTTCAGGTTCGGTTCGGGTTCGTCAGAACACTATTCTAATTTTTTTAATATAATAGACTAGTATTAGAGCTTATCATATGATGATAGGCTATAGAATATGAAATAAATATTACAAACTTGTTATGTGAATATTGCAAAGACTCTATAAGATATTTTTATATATAAGTATATATGTCAATATGAAATATAGCATGTTCAAAGCATTGAATTCAGATAAGTTACATAGAATCTGCATGTAAACAAAGTTAATGAACATTTAATTATATAAAATTTTCTTAAATATATGATACAGTATATACATAAAATAATGAATAGCTTATATGTAATTATATTAGAAATTGCATGGAAAAACATGTGGAAATTGTGCTAAAAAGCATGTAAAAAAGCACACTATTACATGTACTGTTGCATTTTTTTACATGGCTAGGGTATGTATTCTCATGCACTGTTCTATATTATATTTCATATAGTTCTGTATACTCTCGTGATATTATGTACTGTATTTAATCATAAATCCTATATATTATTTTTTTATAGGAACTATTATATAAAAATACCATCGAGACTATACATGATATTGTTGGAACTGCATTACTATAATTTCTAAGATACTTGAAAAATGACTGAAATAATAAGTTTTTGATATCTAATTCTGTACGATAACTTGTCGATTCAGTTACTGAAAAATATAAAAGCAGCCAAAGCATCATATATATAGAGTCTTTGATATCAATAACTTATTGATTCTGTATAATAACTTGCTGATTTAGTTACTAAAAAATATGAATACAGCTAAAGCACCACCTATATAAAGTCTTTGCTAACAGAAAATCAACTTGAGTTTTTGCAAAATTTGAATAAATTTCGGTACAGGATATATTTTTCATGAAAACTTTATCTGTTACTACATGAATATTACATGAATATGCAATATTCAATTCTGTATAATAATCCAATTTTTTTAATAATATAGATAGATAAATTAAACTATACAAAGTTAATTTTTTGGTTCTTATAATATAAAATTTGAAAAATAACCTGGCAACCCAGCTTTTAATTTTATTTTTCAAAAATTTTATATATAAAAAAGTATATAAAAATTTTTATAGACTTTTAAAAAAACTTCACCCAAATAGTAAATTAATCAAAAAAATTTTTTAAGAATTTTGCAAAATTTGACTCGACCGGGTTATGAGAACCAATTTATTAAGTTTGTAAAGCCTTATATTTATTACAATATATATATTTTTTACAATAAAAACTTTTAATAATTGATAATTAGTAATTTTATTAGGAAAATGTTAAACAGTACACCTATATATTTGGTGTACCCTCTTTATAGAAATCTAATAAGTATAATATTAGTTTAATATAAAAATTAAGGTTAAAACAGGAGTTGTTTTATTAGTAAAATTATATAAAGAATATTTTTTATTAATTATACAACAGAGATTACTCTAGTAAAATTTTGCATTATAAGCAAATAATTTAAATATATTATAATTTATACAAGAGTTAGAGTTAGGGTTTTGGTTAGGTTAGGCTTAAAATTAGAGGTCTGCAACCCAAGCATGTGTCTGTGCCTAACAAAAGGTCTAGATATAGGCATAAAATCTCAGGCATGGGTATAGATACAGGCATGAAAACTCAGACATAGGCATGAATATGGATATAAAAAATTGGTATAGATATAAGTATAGCACAAAAAACTTGGTATAGGCATGCGTATAGGCACAGAAATTTAGTATTTATTATTTAATTATGCTTGGCACTTCGCCTGCATCTGTGTTTAGCACCTTGTATCTAGTACTTTGTACCCATACCTTGGCTAGTACCTGATATTTTGTATTTATACTTTTAATGGTGCCCAGCACTTTGTACCTATGCCTACAATAGTGTCTGGTATTTTATGCCTATAGACATTTGCAAATCTCTATTTAAAATCGTGTAACAAATATTTTTTATTAGTTAGACGATCCCAATTCAATTCAGTAGTTTATATTACATTTTTATTATGAAAGAGGAGGCTTCAGAGGGTTTATATAGTAAAATTTTAATTTTTTTTTTTAAAAAATTTTTTTGAAAATGTTTTACTACTATATAAAAAATCGTTTAAACATTATTTATTTAAAAATATATTATAGATTTAAGCTTTTCCTTTCTTTTTTTACTATTTTTCCCAACTTTAATCTCCAAACGAGTAAAATGATCTTTTTCTAATTCTTTACATGTTTTACAACATGGATAAACTATTTTATACTGATTAGTTAATAATTTAGATAAATCAGATAAACCATCTTCAGTTCCACACCAATAACAAAGTTGAATTCTATCACCATGTT